GACATCCATCCACCCTCACCACCCGACATCCATCCACCCCCACCACCCGTCATCCATCCACCCTCACCACCTGACATCCATCCACCCTCACGCACCTGACATCCATCCACCCTCACCCACCTGACATCCATCCACCCTCACCACCCGACATGCATCCACCCCCACCACCTGACATCCATCCACCCTCACCCACCCCTAGCACCCATCTACCCCTCACCCACCCGACACCCTTCCACTCCTCACCCACCCCTAGCACCCATCTACCCCTCACCCACCTGACATCCATCCACCCCTCATCCACCCCTGACATCTATCCATCCTTCCATCCACCCTCACCCACCCCTAACACCCACCCTTACCCACCCCTGACACCCTTCTACCCCTCATCCACTCGACATCCCTCCATGCCCTGCTCAGGCTCCCAGATTCACACCACACTGCCCCTGAGAAAGAGCTCAAAGCCCACAGAAAGGCTCACCCCTGCCCATAAAGGCTCACAGAGCTGCAGTACTGCTTATTAAAATTTCTCCTCCTATCCAAGATAATCAAATGGAAACCAGTGGTTTTTCCTCTCTGCTACCTTTAGTCAGATTTTCAGAAATGCATTCTACTCAGGTAATTATTTAGTAAAAGTCTACTGCTGTACCCCACCTGAGTGCACACACTCTTACGGTCCTACACACTGCTTCTCGGTAATGAATCGAGGCAGGAAGAACGACCCTCAGAGAGCATTACACTGTGCACACTTCTCACAGCTACACTTGGGTGACAAAAGGGGTACCTGAGGCTGCGGGCCCACAGAGTGCCCAGTGCCCCCGCCCATCCTACCTGCTGCGGGGACAGCCCCTCGGGCATCGGCGTCAGCACGGCCTCCGTGTGCCTGCAGTCCACATCCACGAACAGGCTCTGCTCCTCCTCCAAGCCAGACCTGTGGTCTGAAACAGGCCGAGACGCACGAATGTCACACTGAACCCCCATGTTCACGCCGTGACACAGCATAGTCCAGCACCACACGCCGCCAGGCAAGTCTTCTGTGCAGAATTTCCATTTCACATGCTTACTGTAACGGAAACATAACACAGCCAGCAATACCCTCCCACATGGGTGAGCGGGGCTGACACGTGACAACGGCAACGCTGGAGTTTGGACCCAAGAGGCAGAGACGTCAGGCGGATGCATGGTGCTGTCTCCTCGGCCATGCTGCGGCATGCGGATGCAACCAAGTGTGGCGGGTGCCGGAGCAGCCTGCACCAGGGCCAGAGCTAAGAGCAGGGACCCGGGAGGACCCCGGCAGGACTCGTGCCTCCCAACTGTCCATCCTTCCTCCCACTGGAAGTCTGAGGAGGCAGTCTGCCAAAGCCCATGATGTCTAAACCAACACTAAGTTCGTTTCTAAAAGCCAGATACCCCTTGGCACAGTGGCACACGCCTAGCTTCCAGTACTCTGCAAGGCTGAAGTGGCAGGATGACAAGTTCGAGCCCAGCCCGGGCAATTTAGGGAGAACCTGTCTCAAAATTCAAAACCGAAACATCAGGGCTGTGGCTGCAGCTCCCTGTGAAGGCCCTGGGTTCACATAACAGCCACAGCCAAGCAGCCTCAGCCTCCACAAGAACACGGGCCCGTGCCCACCAGCGCCTTTCTCTTCTCATCCCACGATGCCAAACCCGGGCCACGCTGCCAGCACCCAGCCCCTCCCTGGACACGCAAGCTCAGCGAGAGGTGGAGGGCCACGGCAGCTCACGCGAGACCACGCCAGCCACATGGCAGCTCAGCTCCTCGCAGCGATCCTCAGGGCAGACGCCAAGGGCCAGGGAGCTTAGCTGCCGTGGACGAGGGCACGCCTGGGCCACTCTCTAAGGGAGCAGCAGGGCACAGTGTTCCTGTGTGCGCGCGTGTTACTCGGCACTGGGCCGCATTCCCATCTTCTACGTGGAGACAAGGTCTTGCTAAGTTGCCAGTTTCCCCAGGCTGAGTGAGCTCGGACCTGGGATCCTCCTGCCTCAGCCTCGCAGTGCACCAGGGCACAGCGTGCATCCCCACACCCGGCCACTGTCATCTACACACCAGCGCACACTACGCACAGGATCCCTGGAGCAGCCTTAGACGTGGGAGGACACGTGCTCAGACCCCGGGCGCAGCCTGCAGGCACAGGGTGCATGTCTGTGCTGAGGCTCCAAGGAAGCCTGGGGTGCCTGGCACGCTGCCCCGAGACACAGCCCTCTGTGCCTAGGAGCCACACAGGCCACGGCCCACCCCAAGAGGCTCAGAGGCCTCGAGGCTCTCATCGTGGGTTTCTGGGCCCGGACCGCACACAAATGCACCACGTGCGGGCACCTTGGGTGCAGGGACTGGCCCAGGCATGAGGCAGCCACGACCTGCCCTGCCGAGTGGAAACAGCAGAGAGCCTTTGGGGCACACTTCATCCCACTGTGCCTTGCGAGACCCCTTGTGTGCTCTGTCGCAAGCCCTCCCTTGCAGCCCCAGACGCGTCTGGACCTTGGGGGATGAAGGACTTGGTCCTGATGAAGGAGCGGCCCCTCTTCACGGCGGCTTTGGTTCGCTCCAGCCCGTCCTTGGTGCCCTCCTTAGCGGCCTTCATGAGTTTCTGCATCTGCAAGAAAGTAGACACCTGAGAAGCGGCCCAGCCTGGCACTTCGCTGCTCCTGTCATTTTAAAAGAATACTGTCAAGTAGTCTGGGCATGAAACATTACCTGACGCTGGCTTTTTGATGTACAAGAGCCTGGTTATCGCGTGCATGGCTTTAAGCTACTGTTCACTTTGTTTTTAAATAAAAGGAAAGAGTGAAATGCAGAGGTACAGCCTTTTCTTGGCACTGGTCAGTTTCCTGCTGTTTGACAGTCAGTAATTCCTCTGCAGTTAGTCAGAGGCAGGGCAGCTCAGTGGCAGCCACGGGCACAAAGGGGCAGGGATGGCAAAGGTGCCTGGGCTGCATGGCACAGGCGGCAGTGCAGACCTGGAGGCCAGCATCCTCACAGGGCCTCCCAGACCCTGCTGCCTGGGCAGGCATGCCCATGGTGGGGGCCTGGTCCGCCTTCTGGGGGCGTGGCTGCCATCTAGGGGGTACCTTCCTGCTCCTGGTTGCCAGCCCCAGCCTAACAGCGGGAGCCGAGGGAAGATGCATTTGGGCGCCCACCCGAAGACCCAGCAGATGCCTCAACAACTCAGAGGCCCCAGACAGGACAGTGGCTCCCTGACCCCAGCTTCTGCCAGCCAGCACTGTAACTGTCTGGAGGCTGCACCCGGCTGGCTTTCATTTCCTGTCCTGCAGAAACCTAACCTTGAGCGTCAGCCAGGACCCTGGCGGCCCCCTAGAGAAAGGCTAGCAGCTCGCGAGATGAACAGAGCTCTTCTGCACCCACCTGAGCACCCAAGGGTCCCCCAGAAGGTACTGCGACTGAGCTAACCGGCCCTCCACCTCCCCGCTTCCATTTCCACTGCCGCCTGACAGCTCTCTCCTGATTTCAAGTCAAACACCTCACAGCCACAGCTGCCAGCCGCACCTCCCGCCTGCGACCCCTCCCACTTCCACCCCAAGGGCCATGTGTTCTCCTGGCCTCAGACCTGGGCTGCTAGACCTTAGTACCTGCCTGGCCCCCCATGAATCAGACGGCCACTGAGTGGAGGCCCTCACAGCTCGGGCCCTGTCCCCATGTGGAGCAAAGGCAAACCCCCGCCTGTGCTCCTGCATGGTGCCTGAGCGCTCCGCTTCTGTTGCCGTCCCACGCTGGCCCGTTCTGGGAGTCACTACTGCTTGAAAAGCCCGGGGCACCGCGCCAACCTAGTTCCCGTGCGGAGTCGGGCCTAGGTGGCAAGGGAGGCAGGTGCACAGAGGACTACTTGACAGTGCCCTTTTAAAACTCACCTCAAGGAGCCGACCGCCGTGACTCCACATCCAGCGGTTCTCAAGCATTTTGGCCCAGGAGCCCTTTACACTCTACAAATTCTCAGACTAAAATATTCTTTTTAGTGGGCTGGAATCGAACCCAGCGCCTTGCCCCTGCTAGGCATGTGCTCTGCCACTGAGCTATACCCCAGCCCTTAAAAATTTAGTTTGCCTGGGTTTTATAAATCCATAGTATGAAAGTACGAAAAGTTAAACCTGAGAAAGGTTTCGAGATTTCCTGCTAATATTCACTTGAAAGGTAAATCTACTACTTGTTATTTTAAATAACACTTATGAAAAATTATTGTATTTTTTCAATACAGTGATGCTTTGCACTTGTGGAGCGCTTTCTCCCCAACACAGCTGGGCCGTGCCCCCTACCGAGTGGGGTGCACACCACAGAGCTTCCAGAATGTCCCTCCAGTCCCTCAGGGGAAGACAGCACGAGGGGGTACGATCCTCAGCTCAGCTGCAGTGCGACCCCAGGAGCCCCGGGCCACACTTTTGAGAACCACTGTCGTTGGGGCGGAAGGGCCAGCAAGGCACAGTCCGCCGCTGTCGGAGAGCCCACACTACCTTCCGCTCCTGCCTGCGCCTTAGCTGCTGCACCTCCACAGCTCCCACCGCGCTGGCCACCAAGCCTCTCATCTTTTCCTCACAGTGCGCCTTTAAGCGGGTTAGATCATGAGAGAGCTGTGGCATAAAGAGACAGCGTCTTTCAAAACAAGCCCCAGCCGGACCTCCGACCCGCCACACGGGCCAAGGCCAGCCCTGAGCCTCCTGAGAGGTGCAGGGCGTGTGCGAGTGCACCAGGCGCTCCGAGGTGCGCAGGTCACGCAGGTGTGCAGGGCCAGCCTGACAGGGTGGCCGGGGGGCCAGTCTCCATGGACGGGCGGGCAGGTGGGGTCTCCTGGGCCACCTTCCACCCCACAGCCAGAAAACACACACACAGCCAAAGCCCCTGGCTCCCGGGTATTAAGTCAACCGGGAGGGCAAGACTGCCACTGGTGTGTGCAGTGGTTGAAGCGCTGTGTCAACTGAGCTATCTCCCCAGCCCAAGAAGTTAAAAGCTTAACTGAGTCAGCTCGGCAGTTCCACACCCTGGGCGCGGAGGCCACCCTGGAGCAAGTCACCACTTAGAGGACATAAAAGGGAATGAGGAGAGATGGAGCATTCCACCTCCTCTGAGAGCTGTCTTCGCAGTCCCTGTGGAAGGGAGACAGGCCGGCTAGCGGCAGCAGCTGCTGTCCCTCCCTTCGCTCTCTGCTGTTTCCACTGCCCGGAACGGCTGCTCTCTGCCATGTGCCACTCTGCCGGGGAGCCAGCCGAGCGCGGACTGAAACTGTGAGCTACATAAGCCTTTCCTTCCTAAATTTTGGGTGTCAGGTATTTTGCCCCAACAATGAATGAAAAGTAACCGAGACAGGACACAACAGCTCGGCCTCACTGGTGTGCAGTTTTCAAGACGTGGCACCCAAAACAGCAAGTGTGAACAGGGCCCCAGGGCAGCCTACCCCAGCCCAGGCAGCTCTGTGCTCAGGCCTTGTCACACTCGGCGGCCCCGCGCACTGCTCAGGCAGGGAGGCTGAGGACTCCGAAGCCCGAACTGGCACAGATGCACGCTCCACTGGATCCCAGCGCCACTGTGAGGCTGCGCAGGGCAGGCGTGCAGCGGCGTCCTCCTTGGATTGCCCTCTCTCGGCGCTGCCCTGCTGGGTGGCCAATGGCCTCAGGCCGGCAGGAGTGTGTTCCCTGGCTGCACAGACCCAAATTCTGCCCCCTCATGAGCTCTGCCAACTATGACAGCAGCTTCACTGCAGGCCAAGCAAGCTGAGGAATCCTGGAACCCTGTCCACAGCAGAAGTGTGGGATGTCCACTGTGCTCCTGCCCTCTGTGGAACAGGGCCAGGCCATGGATTCTAACAACCAGTAACAACTCGTCAGCCACCCAACATGGCAGCAGTGGGAGAGGGCCCAGGGAGGTCCCTGGCCATGCCTGTCCTCAGGTGGTGCCATGGCACAGAGAGCAGCCGACAAGGCCTGCTCAGCTGCACAGGGCGCTCTTCCAGGGCCCAGGGCCCTCCTCTGACGCCGAAGTACAAACAACATAAAGACAGATGACAGGGAGGGAGGTCCTGCCACAGAGTTGGGAGGTCAGGGCTGAGAAAGAGTGGAGCTGACCATGACCGCACCAACAGCCTGCAAGGGATACCACACAAATGGACCGACATGACTCTTTCTAAGTGAAAAAAAAAATGCCAGGGCAGTGTAGGAGCTTTGTTCTTCCCTGTCACTCTCAACACTCCCTGACCCCAGCCTCCTTGTCACAGGGAGAGGCTTGTACTCAGGACTGCTGTGAAGCACAGCTCCGGGCATGAGCTTGGCGTTCCGTGCGTGTGCCCTGGGACCCTGTGAGGGCCGGGCATGCCCTGCGACCCTGTGAGGGCCGGGCATGCCCTGCGTGTGCCCTGGAGCCCTGTGAGGGCCGGGCATGCCCTGCGTGTGCCCTGAAGCCCTGTGAGGGCCGGGCATGCCCTGCGTGCCCCTTGGACCCTACGCCAGTGTGCACTCTGTCCTACATACACCCTGGGACTCTGTGAGGACCGGGCATGCCCCGCGTGTG